GTAAGTACTGTGGGCACAAATGTAGATATCTTTCTTACTGTAAATAAACATTGACATGTTGACATGACTTTGTTTTCAACAAAAATGGATAAGTTTGTTGGTTCATTTGCATGAAAAAGCCAAATTGGTTTTAAAGAGCAATTTTAAAAAGACAAAACATTTTTGTCTCCATGAACCAAAAAAAACATGATTTTGTGAAAATGCTAAGATCAAGCCATATGTATTATATGTTTTATAGGCATGTGAGAACATGACTAGAGCCCTGCATTTAAGCCAGAGCCCGTCATGGCCCAACTTTTATTTTATGCCCCTAGTTCCGGCCTTGGGGGGGCAACTTTTCACATCATAGCTAGCACGCATATCGGGCTTCAGACCTGCTAGAGAATTTTTTTTTTTTTAAGTTTAATGAGATCCAATGCGTGAGGTCCAGAAGCGCCAGTGATGATTTCCAGCCACGTACAATGGAGAACGTTAAGAGAAAAATTGACAATGGCAAACTTTAAGGTTCAAGAAACCCTCGAGTACTTTGAGATTTTAACAAGTTTGTGTGTGTTGAGTATCAGTTAAGACAATGTTAGCACCTGTCAGCTGCAAAAAAACTGGATAATTGGGAGCTTTTATCAGCTAATTTCATCTTCTGGGTTTAAAATGATTTCTGGGACGGGATCAAAATCGGTGACGTAGCGCAAACCTGCAAGTGCAAAGATGACACGTCGGTTTCTCATTATTATTCATAGCGGAGTTCTCTTATCCTATGAGAAGAGCCGGCTTCTTAATTATTCATGACTGCACATGCTTTCCGAAGGGAAGGCAGACCTGCCAGTGCCAAGCTGTGAGACCCTGTTGATGACTGGGTGATACCGCGTCCACGGACCCACAGCCATTTAGCCATTTATGAAGGGTTGTATATGTTTGTTTCGATGATCCACGGGGTTTGTTGCATGGTTTTTTCAGTCAGAGTATCTTTTGGACATTGGATTTTTATTTTAGAAACGGATATTGAAAAACGAGCCAGTTTTTGATTTATGTTTTTAAATGAAAAAAATCAAATTGAAATTCAATGTTTTTTGATTGTTGGTTTTTAAAACGAAAATCCAAAAATGGCTCATTTTTCTTTTAGATGGTGAAAAACGAAAAACCAAAAATTATTATTATTATTATTATTTTTGAATAACAAAAAATAAAATCACCAGAAAAGAAAAACGCATAAAGGCAATGCTGCCACATACAGGCTAGCCTATAGGCTATTATTTAATTCCACCTAATTATGTTATAAAAGGTATTTTCTTGTGATTGCAGGATTTTGTTAATACAGATTTTTCTCATTGAAGCCGGTTATATGGAACAACATAATTTACAATATATGCTTTATTTGCATTCCTCTTCAGGAGTGACAGTAACATTGGAATCATTGCTCATCTCTTTGTGTTATAGTTATATAATAGCAGGTTATTTTTTGGTTAAATTTCAATTTCTGTATTAAAATCTGCTGCTATATTTGCACATGGCTGTATGAAATTATGGATAGATCCACTGTAATGGGGTGATGACGCATGCACACAACTCATCTGCAAGTTCAGTGATAGCCCGTTTTTAAAAGATAAATTTCAGATAAAATTAATTGTTAATTTTTATTTTAAAATACTATGACTCATTGAAATGTGCATTACGAACAACTGTGTTAATGCCTCCCTCATTTGGAATGATTTGTGGTCAAACTTCAGGAAGTGAAAGTATTATGGTTAACAACATTAAAACTGTTTTTTTCAGAAAAGTGTTCAGTAAAGCAACCTAATGCTTGCCTTCAAATGTCAAAATAAAGGTTGATTCATGTAAAACGGGTGCTCAATCCTGTTCCTGGAGATCTACCCTCCTGCAGATTTCAGTTGCTACCCATATCAAACAACCTGAACCAATTAATTAGGACCTGAACACCACTTGATAATTACAGGCAGGTGTGTTTGATATGGGTAGCAACTGAAATCTGCAGGAAGGGATGGAGGAGCAGGATTAAGCACCCCTGATGTAAAACATGCCAACAAAAAATAAATATATAGCTTATAACCGGCCCTTATATGAGAAATAGGTTGTCTTAGGAAAATTTGTCTTAACAAAATCCTGTTATAACAAGAAAAGACCTTTCATAACATTATAAAGTGGAAAAAAATAAAAGCCTATAGTAGGCTAGCAGGTCAGGATTTTGTCACCGAAATGGCCTACCTGGTTTCGAAATATATTTTAAAAAAAACAAGCCTTTATTCATTTTTGTTTTCTGGTGAATATATTTTTGTTACTCAAAATAAAAATCAAATAATTATGAATTCTGTTTTTAAGTTTTTCACCATGAAAAAGAAAAACCAGCCGTTATTTTGATTTTCGTTTTCAAATTCAAAACCCAAAATGAAAAAACACATTGAATTTCAATTTCTGTTCTTTAATTGTAAAACAAAAATTAAAAAACGGCCAGTTTTTTTGTTTTTCAATATCCGTTTCTAAAATGAAAATTCAATGACCAAAAGATACACTGACCGTTTTCCTCACGATGCTGTCAGGGCCGATACAGCAAAGCTGTTGGTTTGCAGCAAGCATTTTTGTAGGGAGAGCAGTATGTGAATTGGAGAATGGCGAACGTTGTCTTTTATCAGGAGTTTGTTCAAGTTTAGACACGTCGCCATGCTGCTATGTTCGGCTAAATCCTCCAGATTACCAAGAGGGCTAATGGTTAAAATAGACAGGGCAAGAGACCTGCTGCACTGAGTCTGACTCTGCATTCAGACCGGGGGATTGAGGGAGAAGTCCTCATTTATAGTGTTTATATAAACACGATTATCTTTATAATAATAGAACAAATTGTAGTTGTGTTTATATGAAATTACAAATGACAAATGTAGCAGGAGATTAAATTACGGTTTATTTCTTTGCATTTTAACTTTGTGAACTATAAAATCATGCGTCTTCTCATGGTTTGTGTCTCTTTTTGTGAACCGACTGACAACAGTTGTTCGCTCCCCTCCTTCTCCCCTGCTCTGCTGGCCACGCCCACTCCTGCCCTTTGCTCGCAGAGCTCCACGCCCCTTATCATGCATCTTTTGAAAAAATTCTGAGGTAGACCTGAACCGAAAGTAGGGGGTGTCATGACACCTTAAAGCTGTGAAAATCACTAGAGGAAAGGCAAACTTCTGGTCAACTTTTCAAATAGTGACAACTTTAAATGATGAGATAACTGGTTATGCATAATGCACAGCTTGAGGTAAGACACTGTGGACTACATACCGCTTGGATATTGATGTCACAAAAAAAACCCCTAAAACTTAAATAAAAAAACCCCTCAAATTTCTCTAAATTATTCAAATGAATAAAACGAGCGAAAAACATCAACTTCCTATTAAATACAAATCTGGTCTGTTTTAATGGTTGTAACAGCTGTTTGACGAGTAAAAAAAAAAAAAAAAAAGCTTCAGATTGGACTCGTGCAAAGATTTTGATAAGCTGTTGGACAAGGGCAAAGCTACAGCCTGTGCATCTCATGCAGGGCTCTAAACATGACATCTAAAACAACATCAGTGTAGTATCCGTTCTTTATATGTGGATTAGTCAATTAGCTTTTATTTGATTATTGATGATTTGACATGATCCAGGATTGTTTGGCTCTTTGAAACTCATTTTCGAGCCGCTGTCCTAACAACAGGTCCGTAAGATCAAAGCTGCTAACGACAAACGCATATTTTGAACAGATACCAGATTTCTATTTCTGAAATATGAATGGTCGTTACTCACTGATATTCATTTCTTGAGGAACAATGATATCATTTTTTCTGGAGTCGTGCGCAGACGTAAATTTGAACAATGAAAGCCATAATTTGCCTGTTGGCTTGATTTTTCGATGCAAAATTATTCAAATGGCTATTCCTTATATCACAGAATAAAAAAAACAACTACTTTAATTCCATTAGGCATAACAAATCCACTCTGTGGAAAAATTAATTGATGAAAATAGTAGTTTTTATAAAAAGTATAAACCTGTCCTGTACACATATTAGAAATAGTGTTTTGCATTACATTTAGCAAACCATTTCATCTACTAAAACTTGTCATTTTCTTAACTCTTTGATAACTGGATGTTATTTAGATGATGTCATTACACTGCTGTGGTTGCATGGCTGATCATGGTTGCTAAGATTGATATATCTGCACTTGCCAATGAACACGAGTACAAACAGAATCTGAGAAAGCCTCATACAAATCTTTTCATCTGGTTGCTTGAAGAACCAAATCAGCCAGAGATAATTTATAATGACTAAAATATCCAGTAGCTGTCGAATCATCTCAGATATTTCAAGCACGGCATGAAGAACAGACTACAGGACTGTATTTGCAGAGACGCACAGTGCTCCTTTGTGACATTGCCAACTACTGGCTTGGCATACAGAATACAAAGCTTTTGTGTCATACTTGTCACTTTGGCGGATCTGCGAAGAGCATCCTTTTGACAACACCAAAACCTTTTTAGTTCACTTGTCCTGTAAATATACCCCAACACAAGAGATGAACTAATTTATCAGCTGATTTTTGATTCACTTAAAACCACTAGAATATCAGATGTTTCATGATAAAATAAAACAGAATTAAGAAATACAGTACAAAAGTTTATCAAATGCATGCATTTAGATGCTGATGTCTGCTGCATAATTTATCTGGTTAAAGAAAAACTTCCTAAAAATGAAACCTCGTTTTCTCCGACATCAACAATACTGTTAAACAGATCAAATCCATGTTCTAAGAAAATTATTTATACAGCAATATATAAAGCTAAAATGCATGCATTTTTGGACTTCGCTAACTTAAAACATGATCAAAATAGTAATGTATTTGAATTAGGAAAGCTCAAATTAGTGTTGAATTGGATAATAGTTTATTCAAATCAGTATTGGCAAAAAATAAATAATAATAAAAAGTGCACCCCTAAAAATACTTTTAATCAAATAAAAAGAGGAATCAAATTGCTCCCTAAAATGTCTTTATTTCTTATTAATTTAAATAACTTAAACGGCCACAAAATGCCCTAATGTTTATCCACAAGCTTTTAAATACGGGTAAACGGTTTCTGCCATCACATCCTGCCCAAAGTTTGTATGTTGTTAGCGAGGATCTTTTTTAACTGAAGGTCCACCACAGTATAACAACAGGCAACAACAAACTACAAGACGTGATTCCTTAAAAAAAGAAACATTCCACTTTTGGGAACAGGCTCATTTTACAACTCCCCTGGAGTTAAACAGTGAAGTTTCACCGTTTTTTAATTCATTCAGCTGATCTCCAAGTCAAGCAGGAAAAGTTTTAGCTTTTTTTTTTTTACCATTTTTTTAATCCATTTAACCGATTTCCAGGTCTGTGGAGGAGCACTTTTAGCTTAGCTTAGCATAAATCATAGAATCAGATTAGACCATTAGCATCTTAATTCAATAATTTTAAAAGGGATTTATTTTTATGTTAGTTCTTAGCCATATTGAACTAGAAAACAGCAACTTCCAATTGTAAGAATAGGAAAACCATCAAAATCTTATGAAATTTGAGCAAGATGCTAGTTGTCTAATCTGATTCATTGATTTATGCTAAGCTAAGCTAAAAGTGCTCCTCCACAGACCTGGAAATCGGTTAAATGGATTAAAAAAATGGTAAAAACTCAACTGTTTAATTGCAGGGGAGCTGTAAAATGAGCTTATTTCATCCCTTAAAAAGTGGAATGTTCCTTAAAACAGCCTTTAGATAGAGACCAGCAGAGCCAGAGATAAATGCAGCTATGGACATTTAAGAAAAATCTATTTTTAACAACCAAACTACTCAAAAGATGAGGACTACTTTCAACGATGAGGTTGCTCTTGATGGGTTAAATTTCATGATTAACTATTTGCCCATATTGCTCTGCCCCAACTGGCCTCGAGGCTTTAAGGAATCCATCTTAAACATCAGTGTTGGGTAAATGTAGCTGTTTGCTTAAAAAAATGGGAACAAAAGGATTTTTGAAAAGAGACTATGAAATAGAAAAACAAAATTAGTACAAATTGGAAACAAAAATAACACCACACAAATACGCACTCACAAAAAAACAAAACAAAAACTCGAGTTTCAGACCACATTTTACCCCTCCCCCGTCTGTTATTCCTGATCTTCTTTCTCACCACAAACACACATACAATGATCCTATCCTGTGCAATGTACTTTTCCTGTTTAAACCCCACTGATAAACCTCAATGGGTTCAGTCCAAATATAACAAGACAGAATTACCGTCCTATCACACCTGCAATCTATCTAAATATATTATAAATTCTGTGCCGACAATATACACTAAAATCCAGCTGATGGTCATTATGTAATGCTAGAGGCCACAAATAAATGTTCAAAAACTTTTACTACCGCTTTCATAATCTGAACAATGATAAAACTTTCAAAAACATGGATGAAAAACCCCTTTTGTGAATGAAACAAAGAGAGAATTGCCACGAGGACAGTTCAAGTCCTGAGAGTAAAGTGGGAAGAGACGAATGCAACGAAAATGAGAGGAACATGACAAAACCAATGTGCCATCCTAAAACACAAGGACAGTTGGAGGAGGAGAAAAGGTGGTCTGCACACTTCAATATTTATATATACACAGAAAAGCACAGATCTTTTATAGCCGCCTCAGAGCTCGTTTCTTATCTGTTTTTTTCTTTGCGACTATATTAGTATTGCTAATATTGGAGTTGTTGGTGCCAGTACCCATTGTTGGCAAACCTGCCCCAACTACACGTTTGTTTGGGTCTCCTGCATGTTTCTTGGGTTGGGGTCCGTCTGCAGGTTCCTGAGGGGCCCCTGAAGTGCCTCCCATAGCATGAATCTCTGTTAGAAGATGAGCACGGGATGCATACTCCTTATAGTCCTCCAATAGTAACTTCCCAGCCTCTTCATTCAAAGCCGACTCTGGGTTTGGGTGGATCAGAAGGCACTTGATGGTCTAAAAGAAAGATTTGAGAAGTATGGAGGGTAAACAAGCTGTATAAAAAAAAAATCTGCTCTTACGAGTTCAAAAGTTTAGAATATAATGAAGATCTGGTCATCACAAATTTCTTGTTTCCATGGCCACATCTAACCTTGTTTGAACATACGGTTATTGTTGTAATATCAATACTCATTTAATAGATTTACATTGACTAATAGATTCAAGGTCTAATAGAACCACATTGAAAAAGCCGAACTGAATGGAACAATAGGATTAACTGTGCTGTGTTTGAGTTTTATTTCTCCAAGTAAGGAAAAAAATGCTCTAAAACATAATATGACAGAATAAGGCTTATAATAGCGCCACACCACACAAAGTTCTGTTATTTTAAAAGAGATTATTTATTCTGTTGAACACTCAAAGGTGTTTTGATGAAGGCTTAAAATCCTCAAACCATTGACATCTACGATAAGATTACAGTCAATGGTTACAGGTTTCCAGCTTTCTTTAAAATATCTTCTTTTGTATTCAAATGTGAGAAACTCAAACAGGTTTGAAACAAGTGAAGGGAGAGTAAATGACAGTTATCTCATCAAGGGTAAACAATAAAAATCAAGATCGACTTAGAATAAAACTTATGGCTACTGAAAAATTATCTTTGCCATTTAAATGAATAAAACTAATGCAACAATATTATTAGTTTGAACAAATTTTGTCATAATTGATGGAACTAACTACAACCCCAGATTTTAAACTATACATACACACGGATATAAAGATAGCCCAGTTTAGTGTCTGGATCAAATTAAATTGTGATTTTACATATAAAAGCATAGTAATAGAGCTGCACAATTAATCGTTGAAAGATCGCGATCTCGATTCGACCCCAGCATTTCTACAATTCTGCCAATCATATTTTTAAGTTCAGAAGAGAAGAAAAGGCGGCTGCACGAGTCTTTTCATTGTTTCACACACGTTGCTCAGTCACATTGACACCTCCAAATGATGTTGAATGAGTCACATAATGTATTTATAAGGTATGATTCACCTAAAAATGTCATTTTTGTTTTCATATAATGATGTTTTCGCGGCCGGGAAATCACACGTGACGAGCTGCTGACCGTGAGCTGTTATCACAGAGAGGGCGCACGCACGCTGTACTTAATGATAATTTAGTGAACAGAACCTGCATATGATGCGAGTAACAGGTAAATAATAATCAGTAATGTAACATGTAAATAATATTCAGTTTGTGGCACAGAGTGATCGTTTGGGAGCCGCGCGCGTAGTATGAACAAGCACTTAGCAGTCAAAATAAAACCGAAAGTGTGCACTTCATTTAAATGATCATATCGCATTTTAGAGTTATGATTACTGCAAGCATTTGATATGTTTTTTTTTTCTTTCATAGCGACCCCACAGTTGTGCATGAAAATAAATGTTTACAATGTCAGTATAACTACTCTAGCCTATATATTGTTGAATATAATCTGATAATGGCAAATGTCTGATTTTACCAGTGAATAAATTTGTCTAATATGACAGATTGCAAGCATATATCTCAAACATAATAATTCAACATCAGAATTATTATAAGTAGAATAGAATTATTTATAAAAACCAGTAGACCTACACACAATATTATTATCGATGTTGTGCTATATTGTTTACCATTCCTTTATTTTACATCTACAGAATCGTGAGAAAATCGTGATCTTTATTTTGAGCAAAAATAAATAAATAAATCGCGATTCTCATTTTAGCCAGAATCGTGCAGCTCTACATAGTAATTTCAAGTGAGAGTTTCTAAATGAGTAACAATTAGAGCTGCTTTTTTTTCTTTTTTTTTCTTTTTTAAATAGTTGCTAAATGATGTTTAACAGAGCAAGGAGATTTTCACAGTATGTCTGATATTTTTTCGTCTGGAGAAAGTCTTATTTGTTTTATTTCAGCTACAATAAAAGCAGTTTTTAATTTTTTAAAAACCATCTTAAGGTCAAAACTATTATCCCCTTAAAGCTATTCTTTTTTTGATAGTCTACAAAACAAACCATCGTTACACAATAACTTGCCTAATTACCCTAACCTGCCTAGTTAAGCTAATTAATCTAGTTAAACCTTTAAATGCCACTTTAAGCTGTATAGAAGTGTCTTGAAGACTATCTAGCCAAATATTATTTACTGTCATCATGGCAAAGATAAAATAAATCAGTTATTGAAATAAGTTAATAAAACAATTATGTTTAGAAATGTGTTGAAAAAAATCTTCTCTCCGTTAAACAGAAATTTTTTGGGGGGGAAGAGATTAAACAATTCAGAGGGTTTGATCATTCTGATTTCAACTATAGTACACATTTGCTTTCTGCGATATAAATTGCGACATGACTAAAATTTCACCAAATGTCTTGAATAGCTCTATTGGAAAAACAATTCATTCATTTAGATTGATTGATTGATTAATTGGCATGATTTGGCAAGGGGAGGGAACCACGATCTATAAAACATAATGAATTACAAGCATATAAAAACAGAATAGATCAAATCTAAGTAAAATAAACAGTAAATTAACAGTTTATTGCATGTAAATGTAAATTAGCACAGCAAACTGCATAAATGGCTATATGAATGAGTGATGCACTGATCTTGTTTTTTTTTTTACATGGCCAATTCAGATTTATTTAGCAAATTAATTCAATACCGATTCCCAATTATACATAGGCCTTGACACTTTTTTCAGAAGCTGACTTTTAAAAGCAAAGCCACGTCATTAATTTGAATACAATAATACCCTAGGTTTTACTGTACTGGTTTAATGGACTGTTTAGATGGTAAACTATTTAATTTTTATTTATAAATGAAGTGTAGCTAGCAGAACTGGGATCAAATTGTCCTTCTAAACTGATCTGAATTAGATTATGGACTAAAGTCCACAATGAACAGGAAGCTGCTGCAACTTTTATTTTTATATTGTGACTCAGTATATTAAATGAGAAAACAGTGGGCATGGCTTGTTTTTTCTGCTGCAAGCTGAATGGATGTAGTAAAGTAGGCATTTCATTCAGAAAGATAGTAAAAGGGGTTTTGAAAGTGATTTCATTTCAGCAAAACAGATTGATTAAACGTATATATTTATTAAATAATATTTTAGTGACTGAACATCTTTAGAAATAGAAAGATAACACATTAAATTCATGCAAAATATTGGAAAAAACAAACAAATTACAAACTACACAATTTACAATTTGTTAATTATATTAATTAAATATATATTTTTTGTTTCTTTTGATTTTCTTCATTCTTTAATTTTGATTTTAGATTTTTCCCTAAACATATAGATTAGGGCTACTAATTTTTGGACTGCTACCTTAAGTTATTTTTTTAGATTAGCTCCAGATTTTGCTTCAGTACTGAATAATCAAATGTATATGTACAAATACAATATTGTAAAGCATCCTATAGAAAACATTAAAAAGATTTGTGAGGGGTGTACTCATATACTGGGCACTGTATGTCCATGTACACGCACATATTTAATTACAGTTTAGATTTATTAATTCAACTGGTAAATCTAAGATGTTGCAGAACCTTATATTTTAGGGCAGGGGTGTCCAAACTCGGTACTGGAGGGCCTTCCCTAAACACACCTGCCTGGACTGAGTTTGGACACCCCTGTTTTAGGGAATTTCTGACCATGAAACAAAAGGGAAAAAAAATTTAGTCAATGTTTGAAAGAACTTCAGAAAGAATAAAATATTACTTACCAACAATACATGTCTCAAGCCCAGCTCTGCTTTCCAGTCTCTCTTGAGTACATTGACACAGATCTCACCCTTGTGCCCAACATTAGGATGGAAAATCTTTGTGAGGAAATAGCCTCTGGGAGGAACGGCAGGAAAGTCCTTCCCAAGCACCAAACGCATCCGGAACACACCACCTGCATATGGAGTTCCTTCTGTTGAGCAGAAGACGGGGGAAAACAAGTTGCAAGTGCAATGATTAGATCACGGCTTTCATTGAGAAGAGGAAACTGTGATAATCTCTACTTGCCTGGGCCCTCAATGGAAGTGTGCAGCTCTGTGATGTCCTCTTCACTGGGGTAGATTTTGATCCCCTCAGGAGGATCTGCTGCTAAAGCTGAAACTTCTTTATAGACGAGTCTCAACACTTGAGGCGGCAAGTTCTCCACATTTGAATTCTGCACACAATAAAATGTCAAATGTAACAAATTGCAAAATTTAAAAAATGGTGGGGAAAACTTTTTATTTAGAAAATAATACAAAATTATTAATTTTAAGAAACTTTAGCCTATACAAGTTCATAAACTTGATACATAATACATACATTACGGGTGAAGATTTTGGGATCAGTAGGATTTTTCAATGATTTAAAATAAGCTCATGTGGCTCACCAAGGCTGCATTTGTTTAATCAAAAATACAGAACAAATTACATAATTGTGAAATGTTATTGCACTGTAAAATAACTGTTCAAAAGTAATTCATAATTTATTCTAGTGATTTTAATGATGAATTTTCAGCTTCATTATTTCAGTCTCCAGAGTGACATGATCCTTCAAAAATCACGCTAACATTAGTTATTATTATTAATGGTAATAGTAATAAAACAATAATGATGGAGTAATAATTTCATTTGAAACCACATACAGTAAGCAAGCAGTTGTTTGATAGTATCACTACTATTAAAATAAATAAATAAACAAATGTAATAAATCAAAATAAATAATATAATGGAAAAAACAAGAGCCTAGCACATCTGCTTCACCAAACAACAAAAATAGGTGGAATTTCGTTCATTTATCCACAATAAAATACACATTTATTTAATTAAAAAGCAAAAACACGAAAAAAAAGCGGAACAATTGTACAACGTATATCATACTGAGCTTGTATCGTCTGGTAATCAAGCAGGTAACACTTAACAATAAATTATATTTTTCGGAACCTTTAGTTAGGATAAAGTAATAATTACCCAGTTACTTTAATATAATGCTTTATTACAAAAAAGTATGACAAATACCACACAATTCGACATTAGTGATGCATTAACGCGAGTAAAAGTTAAAAAGCCTTTTGTTAACAAACGTTCGTAAAAAAATATTAATGCTGCATAATACAGTGCTTATAATTACTGTCAATTTAACAATCAAAGCATATTTGAGTTTAAATCACATTACTGTAAAGAGTCTCTCAAAACAAGCTGAACGACTAAAAAGTAAGACAAATAAACAGTAAAGCTGTTTTGTTGTAATCAGTTTGATGAATCACTCGTAAACAATACATAATTGAACCTACCATTTTTAGGCGTGCTGGATTTTTTAATCGGCAGCAAATTTGTCCCAAAGGAGAACTTAGCAGAACTGACACTCAACCGGCCGATTTGACGGATTCGGTGATCTGTAACCGGACTGACGGAACAAAATGATAACGAATCTAAAAGTTGCAACCAATCAAAGATAGCAAAGTATTCCAAGACGCCTGACTATTATATAAATAACCAAAACCAATTTTCACTGTGATGTCGGTCGGCTTGCTAGTGCTGCTATCAAACCAGGCTAGGCTAACTGTGGGATAGCTAGCTATTCTCCAGAGCTGCCTTTTGTGAAACTTCAATGCGACGTTGTCTTCAGATCAAATATCTCGTGTAAAGATTTTTTTAAATCCAACGTGGTGTTAATTTCGTCTGCGGTAATTGATTTGTTTGATAGCTAGTCTGCTACTGCTGACGGCTACTGTAGCCTGTTATCAGCTAGCAGTCTTTGACACGGAACAAAAATACAATTCGTCTAAGCAGCAGTTCGAAATACGTTTAACCAATCAGAATGTGAGAAGGACTTCACGTGCTCAACAATTAAAGCGTTTTGACCAATCAGAAGCACGGGTTGTGCTGACGTAGCTGGCCTTGGAAACCACTTCGACCAGAGAAAGTTGAGAATGCGAAAGATGCTGTTTGCTAATAGGTGCGTTTGAAAAACTCGTGCCCTCCCAGAGGCAGGGACTGATGTGTGGCTTCAAATCGACATCCAATGAAAGACGCAGAAAGAAATATAAGAAAAACTTTAGAGGTTTTTTATTACTGTAATTGGTTTCTTCTAGTGCAGATCACGATGGAAGAATTTCTGAAAGATTGAGTTAAACTAAAGATTAATTTGCCTTAAAATACAGTTTTACTCACTCAACAATTAATGATTAAAAAGCTACATTAATTTTTTTTATTTTATGTAATATTTTAACAACATGTAATGCTTTCACTGTTTTTAATTTTTTATTTTTTTTCCTGCAATTTGTATAAAATGTCAAATATTCCTTGTTTTTTATTTGGCTTTTTTGACAACTGATGTGATGTCTTAGATGTGACCGAAAAAAATGTTGCTGTTTTTTTTTTTTTTTTTTTTTTTTTTGATAATTCAGTAGCCATCATTTTGTTATTGATAATCGAACGAGGGTGTGGCAAACAATTTACCTTATTTCTTATTTAATTTCAATTTCATTTATAAAACACTTTAAAACAGTTGAAAGTGCTGACAATAGAGAGTAAAACAAAGCGTAGCACTTATTATAATGTCCACCTTGTTACTCCTGTCTAACTATATAGTTTTTTCATGGTAATAAATAAAATCAATATACATTACAAATGTTTTTTTGGTTACTTGCATCCAAAGAACTAACCAACAGGATTTAATGGCATTGCAGTCTCGAAATACATTACATTTACAAAGTGCCATATAACAAGTCTTTTTAAAGATAATTCTTGTTTAGTAATACCTTTAAAAAATACTATTGCTATACTATACTATTGGTAAAGTGAAAAACATTTTAGCTCCTAGAAAATGTAAATATTACATAAACTATTTATTTGAAACACCTTCTAAAAGATATGAGAATTTTCTGTAATGGGGACATTTAGCCTGTGTTACATGTGAAAATTCTGTAAAAAATGATAAACCGTAATATCCTTAGCTGCACCTGTATATTTTTCTTATAGTTTAATAAGTTCTCCTTCGACTGAAATTTAATCTTGGAAAATTAAACATTTTTTTCAGGGACAGTAACTACCCTAAAATGTCACTGCATAGTTGCACGGTTTCAAAATATCATGGTATTGTGGCTCCAAAACATGTTCTTTTTAAATGTCTGGTTTAAAAAAAATAAAATAAAATTTGGAACAAACATATTTTATTTTGAGAAACATTTAAAATATTTTGGAACAGTAAACATGTCAGATTAAATAATTCATTAAATCACATATTTATATACAATTTAAAATTGCTTCTTTGGATATCTTTTCTGCTGGAGATACTGTTGTACAAAAAACAAAAAACAAAAAAGTAAAACAAAAATCTTACATACTGTAGGAAGAGTATAGCAGAACATCTTAGCAGTTTTAAAACCTTGACTGTTCCAAACCACGGTATACCTTAAAAACGGTTTTCGTCCCATGCCTGAAATATACACAAAACTACATTTCAATTAGTACAATTGCTGTTTGCAGCACAAAAATAATAATGTTAATGCAAAATAAGAAAAGAACGTACTTTATTGACTATTATTTTTATTCTTTGTTTGCAGTATATGGTGCTGGACACAAATCTGTAGTTTGATATTAATTGGTCTGTTTTTACTTATAAACAATTACATGGAGACTATATGAGCTGAAATCTTAATGATATTTTTTCTTAATTTGTAAGTAAGTTTTACAGTAAAAAAATCTAGTTGGAAACACTTGTTTTGTTAACAAAACTACCGGAGGTCTATCATATTATGGAGGATGAAACCTGCAAAAATAAATTACACAAATGTTGGAGGAATAAGAAAATGCATGTTGACCTGAGGAAAAGTACGGAACTTTCTGTTTAGCATTTTCTCATTCCCCCAACACTCATGTAATTTATTTAATTATTTTCTGCCCACGCTATTATTTATTTAAATATTTATTTATGCATGAAATTGAGGATTTATATATACATTTATTTATTTGAATCTTTATTTACAAATTTATTTAATATTTGCATATTATTTATTGATTAATTTGGCTGAAAGACAGAGAAAATATGACTCCATTTCAAATATGAAATATGAAACATTCAACAAATATGTATTTACACGTTTACATAAGTAAAAAATCAGTTAAATGGGCTCAAACTGTTTACAAATTTCTCTCTTTCTCTGTGTGTATACACACAAAACTTTAGGTTTTTGAGATGAACATATACTTACTACTGTAATGAAGACATTTCCCCTGACATTTATGTTGTCATAAATATTGTTACTGGTTCTGTTGCCAGTGCTGTATTTTGCAGGCTATATACGTTTAAAGAGTGTATAGTAGCATTCCTTTATGTCAAATGTCTCTGAATTACTGTTTATATGTAAGCTGCAATGTATAGACCATGTAAAATCCTTTCACGCATCGCTCATCCGTAAATGCTGTTGTGACAATAAAGTGAGTTGAGTTGGGTTGAATGTAAAATAGCCAATAGTATCTGGATGCAGCCTTTATGATGCAAGCTGAGATTGCATGCCTCAGCGATGCAGTGTCAGACACTGCACTCAAATGTAACGAGTGACGTCACTGTGATGGTATAGGGGTGGGGTTCGGTGAGCCTATGGATGCAGCCCAGATTGCAACTAATAGTTTTATTCATTAATAAATTAATTTTGTCGTTATAAGGAAAACGGAAATGCCTTGCCATGAAATGAAAGAAATGAATTGCTGAAATGCAGCTTGATATAAAAAGAAAAAAAAAACTCAAAAAACAATAATGTTGCAGTATTTCAAGACGGCCGCCAGAGAGCACTCAAAGGCTAAGTATGCTGGATCATTTACTAAATATCAGTATTTAGAATCCATTAGTTAATGCCTAATCATTTAGCTTCTTTAAAATTGTTGTTGCCATAGAAACATTCTGACAGAATCAGTTATTTGCCTTTTTTTAAAAAAAGAACATCTTACAATCCACTCATCCTGTGGTCATCTGCAGATGCATTGTCTGTAAGGTTATCATCTGTTTGTGTTTATATTCTATCTCAGATATTATTGGTATGCATAGATAACTATTTATGTACATATTTTACATAGTTTCACTCAGTTTCAACATACTCAATGTGGCATGGAATAAAGCAGCATTCTTCCACAATCTCACGTGTTGGAAAGAGTTTATCTGTCTGTCTAACTTTGGGAAGAACACTAAGGCTACACATTGTTCTGAGATTATTGCTGCTCTTTTTTTTTTAGTCTTCTATATGTTCTGCTTTTAGCACTTAAAAAGCATGTGTCCACAATATAATAAGTTTATATTGGACAACATATGTCTAACAATACACAAAGTAATACAAATAGAAAGAAAATGAGTGAAATTATAAAATAAAAAACATGCCTCTTTTCTGTTCTAGTAATAATAGTCTATTGATGCAATAATATTAATAATAATCACCATCATCATCATCATCATCATCATCCTCAGTATAACAAAAACAATAACAACAACAATCTGCTGCGTAAAACATATGCTGGATAAGTTAGTGGTTAATTCCGATGTGGAGACCCCTGATTAATAAAGGGGCTAAGCCAAAAAGAAAATGAATGATTGAATTAATAATAATAATAATAATAATAATAATAATAACAAAATCTGCTTAAAAACAACTACACCAATCTGTTAATATTTTTTTGTGATTGTTGTTTTTGTTGTTTATGTTCTCATTATTGTGTTCTGTTTTTTTGGTATTTCTTATTAAAATTGAAATATGAAAAGCATGATGATCAATATGTAAAATTTAATTTATTTTCTATTAATAATAATAATAATAATAATAATAATAATAATAATAATAATAATAATAATAATAATAGTTTTCAATAGCATTTGTATAATTATTTTAAAATGTTTTGTTCACTGTAATATGGAATAAAATATGCAAAGATATATACATAAAAAAAGATTTTTAAAGCTCCAACATATATAATATTAATCTATTATTATTATTATTATTAGTATTATTAGTAGTAGTAGTAGCAGTAGTAGTAGTAGTACTAGTAGCAGTGGTTACTACAACTAATAATAATATTAATAAAACATTAATGTTTTTGACATTTATACAGTTTATTAGCACAAAGTTTACAGTAATGTCTAAAACTGAAAAAAAGGGTTTGAGTTTTTATTTTGATCCCTGGATGACTTTTATATATTCGTATCCTCCATTGCAATTTGATTATTTGGTTAAGTTCTGTTTAGTTTAGTTTAGTTTAGTTTAGTTTAGTTTAGTTTAGTTGTTTACAGGGTCAATGCACATTAATAAACATTACTGTAAAATGTGCCAGAATTGGCCAAGAATGTGTAGACCCCTTATGGAATGTTAAAAAGTCACACCTAAATAGAAGCACAGCATTAAACATGAAATAAACTTTCATATATAAAATACAGTTAAAGTAAAAAAGACAAGAACAGACTGATGGCAGCAGAAGAGGACAAAAAGCCAAAGACAACAGTACAAATGTGTCAAGAATACAGTACTAATGCTGACAATGCTGATTTGCCAATAACCAATTTTTAACATGAGATTGAAAAGAACGGAAAGTGAGTGATCTTCTAATTGTTGGTGGGATGGAGTTCCAATCCTTAGCAGCTTCCACTTTTACACAAGATCATTTTTTACGTAATTTTAAATTTTATTTATTCGTTTATTATTCTTTATTACCTTTTTTGTAAAATGAGGGTCCCCCTATGGAGCGGCCGTGTGAACTGCAGCATGATCGCACGGGGCGTTCCCTCAACGCGACAACAACACAACTTCCGGCTGATCCTCACGGACAAGAAACAGGCGGCGTTCCCCTTTCACAGACCGCAACAGATTTCGTTAATAACAGCTTAATATTGTATGTTTAATGGACCAGTAAAGATCAGTTTCGCGGTACGTGTCAGGAGCATCAGTGGATAAATCGTTGCACTGCGGATTCAGTCTTCCAGAAGGTGAGATGATGATGTTTACGATGATGATGATGATGTATCCAGTCATGTGCTGTCAGCTTACGGGAACGCGAGTACATAACGTGTTTTTGGGCGCAATTACATGTTAATGGACGGTCTGAATGTGTTTGTGATGGCAGGGTGAGCATGAGCGAGGGCGAGGTGTTTCATGAGAAGCAGAGACTGGAGCTGTGCGCCATCCATGCCTTGAACAACGTGCTTCAGGAGAGAGTTTTCACTAAAGAGACCGCCGATGACATCTGCAAGCGGTGAGCGCGCGCGCGTGCACGATTACAGTAACTTAACTGAAAGAGGTCATGACATGGATTTTGTAAAATCATTGTAACATTTAAATTGAAGGTCACTTCTACTGTTAATATCATGTTTACACACACCACACAAAATTATGTGTAAACAATTGAAGAGTTCAGATGCAAAACCCTCTAAATAAGGGGTCACCAATCTCGTTCCTGGAGGTCCGGTGCCCTCCAACTTGCCTCAACACACCTGCCTGGATGTTTCAAGTATACCTAGTAAGACCTTGATTAGCTTGTTAAGGTGTGTTTGATTAGGGTTGGAGGTAAAATCTGCAGGACACCGGCCCTCCAGGAACAAGTTTGCTGATCCCTGCTCTAAATCCATCAGACCTCTTTTTTTTTTGTGAATGAACATTTCCTACCCGGCTTCTGATTAGGTTCAGAAGTTTCATTTATTGATAACGATAGGGTTATTAGCTAGTAAATGCAATATCTTTTTGTTCCAAAATGTCACTTTAAACATTTCAAAATTAGTTTTTTTAGCAAGGTCAATTTTCTTTTGCATCAAAACTAGCTAAATCCACCAGTGCTTTTTTAGCAAAACCTACGGTGGCCGGGAAGTGCAAAACAACATTAAAGTTTGAAACACTTTAACAAAGCTCGAGACAAATTTACATTTTGACAAACATGTTTACCTATCATCAGACACAATTACATAGAAAAAAACAATTTTAACAAGGACAAAACAAATGTACATTTTAGAAAACAAATGAACATGACGCAAAACACTTTTACAAATCCCGAAACAAATTTACAATTACAGTTTCCCTACCTAAAGGGAATGTACCACACCCCGGAAGTGACATAGAATGTACCACACACCGGTAGTGACGCGGGGGAACGTTGTTGTTGTTGCTGGTGTGCGCGGTAAATTCGCGCTGTGGAGTACATGGCGTAAACAAAGTTTATGGTGACCGAACATGGACTGCGGTCGAGGGTTGTTTTGCCCGTTTTGTGGCAAACACTTGTGCAACTTAACACGGTTTTGCTTTGCGTGTGGTCAGTGTTTAGAGTTTATAAAGGACGCGGACCAGACCGAAACGCCAGACATGCTGCATCAATGTGTTTAATATTTTTACGAGATCCCCTCGGTACTCTGTAATTATGAACATGATGTCAAGTCTACACGGTGTAAACCTCTGCTTGAGGACTCTTAACGGTAAACTGAAGAAAGCCTGTGTTATGGTTTAACTGGTGTCCGTGTTAACTGAGGCCCCTTTTCAGATGTGCAAACTATCCACGTTTGCAGATTAGCAGATTGGTCACTTTTTCACAGCAACAAAACATGCCCATACCGAATAAAGATTCTAATTACTTGGTGTCAGTGTATCATTGTTGATTTAATATTTGTGTGGCAGAACAGCATAAACCAAAATTAATCTAAAGAAATTATTATAATTGACATGTCATCAACTGGATTTGAACCCAAGTCAATAGGTTCTACATGAGTATCAACCGACTTATCCAACTGAGCTACTCCGGTGTACAGGTTGAGATTGGTTTTGGTATCTTTATCAGTCAACATGTGCTGTGCTTTAAATGTTTCCATGGACTTGCATTTCCATGTTTTTATGCACTCTCACGCTGATATTTTCTCAGAATAGCTCTAATTTATTTTATCGCAGTTAGTCAAACCATAATTTTTATAGTTGTAGACTTGTGGAAACCTGTCTACAAAGTCACACAGTGTGTGTTACATTCCGGGTCAATACCGGTGTGTGGTACATTCTACGTCACTTCCGGGGTGTGGTACATTCCCTTTCCGTAGGGAATCTGTAATTGTAAATTTGTTTCGGGATTTGTAAAAGTGTTTTGCGTCTTGTTAATTTGTTTCCTAAAATGTAAATTTGTTTCATCCTTTGTAAAATTGTTTTTCCTATGTAATTGTGTCTCATGATAAGTAAAAATGTTTTTCAAAATGTAAATTTGTCTCGAGCTTTGTAAAAGTGTTTCAAACTTTGTAATGTTGTTTTGCACTTCCCGGCCACTGTAAAAACCCCCTAAATCCACCATTTGAGACAATACAGTGTAGTTAGTTGAAAATCACTAAAAATGCAATTGGAAATAATTTTACCAAACATAAAACACCTAGAATTAAAAATATATAAATCTGTCAAGTAAGTGGTGGTTCATTCCGCTGTGGTAACCCCTGATAAACCAGGGACAAAACCGAAGGAAAATGAATGAATGAATGAATGAATTCTGTCAAGTAAGAGCATTAATCAGTAACATTAACTCTGACATTAATTAAATCTTAACAATCTGTTGTCATTTCTGATATTTGGGATTTAGATTTAATGTAGATAGAGCAATGTAAACATAGGAAAATAAGCTTGTTAGGTTGAAATAATGTAGTGTAAAAACATTATGAAACATCAATATCTGTGCATTGTCTGTTAATATAAAACGCTGATCAGACATAAAGGTAATATAAAGTATTATATCTTTTAGAAAATAGCTTACATTTAAAGGGCCATGAAACCCCCTCGTTTCATCAGGGTGTTTTCACACCTCTACTTTGGAAAAAGTCAGAAAAGTGGGCGTGTCCAGCTCTGTTTAGGGGGGAGTGTCGGAGGAAGAAAAGAGGCTTGGTTTGGGAGTGTCTATTTAGGCGCGCTGAATTTCAGAGTCAAAACACACCCACACACACACAGGGGAGAAAGGGACTGTTTACATGGACATCTGTAGTCGAATTATTTGCCAAATTATTAAATGGTGGACTTTAACTGCAGTTTGGCTCTTTCATTCAGGGAATTCATTCATGTCCCTCGCGACAAACGTGATATTTGATTCGAGGATCTGCTCTAAGCGTGTATTTTTTATGCAATGTTTGATACCGCACGGCGAATGAGAGAAAAAAAAAACTCAGCATTTCCCGGAAACTTTGATGCAAACGGCAGGTAGCTTCAGAAAGCCTCGTGTGTTAATCCGGTCACAAAATCCAACACGAGGTTATAGTTTGGTTGTAGTGCTAACTTGTTTACACTCGGTGCAATAGTTTGTTTGATACGAATAAAATACGAACTGAATAAACAAAGAGGACTGGTCGCTCACTTACCAAATCTGTAGAGACAGGACAATCACCAGCAACTAGAGCCGCGTCTTTATTTAGAGGAGACTACAAGCGAATCTGGATCTCAGCGTTTGCAGATGAGAACAGCTCTCAGGTAAACAATAATCCTCCTTTGACATGTAAGTTATTGTTGTCGAGCGTCGCGTACACTGTTAATCCACACGTGACTCCAGCTGCGCTCTCACAGGGGGAAAATGAAAACAAAACTTAACGGCAGCAAACTATAAAAGCAACACTTCACGCTTGTTTTGCCAACACAACGTGGCGTCTCTGCCGTCTAAACACTGTGACAGTAATGAATATTAATGAAGTTGCACAATAGAGCGCGCTGATTGGTTTGAACCAAACTTTACTCATGCATTAATGCATCACACTGTAAGACATAATAAGACACACTCTGGCACAGACGTCCAGTCTGCACGCTGGAATACAACGCTATTATGTCATGACCGTGACGCAGCCTCAAATTCGTTTTAAACCGGAAGTACGAATTTGCTTGAAATAACGCAAAAACAACCAATTTACACTTTTTAGTGAAATATAGGTGTCCTAATAGTGTTTTTAGCAGTGTGGGACACATATACGACTGTCAACAGCTCAAAAAATGTGTTTTGGTGTTTCGTGACCCTTTAACAGCTAAAACACAAGGTAGGTCCACTAGGCAAAAAGAGGACGTCTCTCAAATTATTTTAGAAACTGTCATTGATTCATTCTCACCATACTTAGGGTCTTGGGGCCTGTTTCAGTAAGGAGGTTCAAACAACTCTGAGTTTAAACTTGAACTCTGAGTTGATTTACCGAGAGATTAAAAACTCAGAGTTTTCGGTTTCAGAATAGCTGATCTGAGTTGGGTCAATCAGCTTTGAGTAGAGCAACTCAGAGTTAAGCGTGCACACCGTGACTATAAAAAGGCATTATCAATAGAGCGCAGATATTATGAGTGACCATGGCAACATCTTAAAAAAAAGAGATCAGCATTTCTTTCTCCAGCTGAATTTGATCTGCTCATGCAAAGTTATAGCAAATATGAGCGTATATATTTAAAAACAAGCAACCATCAGTGAAACAGAGACAGCCTGGGAAAACAGCTGCTCAAGTTAATGCGTAATTTTTAATTTAAAGTATTTAAATATTTAAGTATAATAAAAAAGGAATATAATGTGTGATGTTTATAAAATGTTTCTACACTTTTATACACGTTGATCAGTTTTAATAGATTAAAAATTGCACTTGTGTGTCTGCCTTTTTATTAATCAAGTGATAGAGGTTGATAATATTTAGAAGATAAGCAGACTAAAAATAATTTTTAAAAAGAATAATAATCCCATTAATCTAGTAACAGTACATGTCAAAGGTTAAGCATATGTATGAAAAAGGACAAGCCTCGTACGTGACTTTGTTCTGTGTGTGACAAAAATGTAGGCAATATCTATGTTTCCATCCAAATATATTACATAAATTTGTGCAAAACTGGAATATTGCATAAAATATGCAAATAAAGCAGCGTTTTTATCCAATGAGTCAAAGAGAACAAAATCGTCACTTCCTGATTAACAGTAAAAACAGAATTTACTGCGGTAGAAGAAGCTGCGTCAATTAATTATTTATTTAACAAATGTACTTGCGCCTCAGAGACACAAGACAATGCTGACACGCAATGAACACGTGGGGGCGTTTGAAACCAGATGCGGAGACTCCCCAAGTCCAGACGCTCGGAGGTAATTAATAATATAAAATAATACTGAAACAGTTCAGGCATTTTAGAATGACCAAAAACAACATTTAAGATGCTCTACAGTGTGCTCAGTCTGCTGGTTTGTCCATTCACCCACATTTTCATCATCATCTCTAACAAACCTTTTTTAAATGTACATACTGT